GAAAATGAGCTGAAGTGATAGCTTTGTGCAGTTCACCTTTTCCCTCTGGAATTTATTAAACAATGCATCAGACATTAAAGGACATGGAGGAAGCTTACATGCACATTACTAGGTGAGAGAAGCCAGTCTGAAGAGACTACACACCATACAATTCTGATTATGTGACATTCTGTAAAAGGTGAAACCATAGAAACAGTAAAAAGATCAGTGGTCGGAGAGGAGAGGGAGTAGGGATGAATCGGTGGAGCAGGGGACTTGTAGAGTGGTGGAATTATCCTGCAAGACGTTGTAATGGTGGTTACAATGACATGCATTGGTCAAAACCCAGAAAACTTTATAGCACAGAGATTGATCTTAATGTCAATGGAAAGTTAACAAAAAAGTTCATCTAGGCCAGAGGATCCCAGGAAGAAATGCAGACTGTGACAAGAGTGCCTAACCATGTTAAACATGTATGAATGACTCACTGAAGGGGGCAGAGAAGTGCTGACCTAAGCAATACTGCAGATGAGCAGAGTCTGTGAGACTAAAGGCAAAAGGAGCAGTACATGAGCACTGTGCGCTGGTGGGTAAAGCTGTTCCCCGCAGTGTTGTGGGTTACCAATTCTGACATGGCGATACGCATATGCCAGAATTGACGTTAAACAAAAGAACGGTGGGTGGTGGACACAGGTTTCTTACTGTTGAGAGCTCTCCTTGAGGTAATAGATTGGAGTTGGAGACATCAGTTGTAAAATCATGTTTCATGTATATACAGATAGTTACTTATAGAAATATTTTTAGATATGCATATACAGGGTGGGGTAAAGGTAGGTTTGCAGTTGTTTGTATGGAAAATAACACAATAATTAATAAAATGATAAAAGAATAAACTGTGTTTTGTGTGCTCGCTCGCAACTATAAACCTACTTTTGCCTCCCCCTGTATGTGGATTGGCATACCCACAAATATTTCTTTGCTCTGTCAGTTGACAGGTCCTAGAAAAATGATACCCTAGTATCAACGAGCATACCTAGTGCCAGATCATTCATTTATTTATTTGTTTAAATTTAGGTGTAATTGGCTTACAACATTATATGGTTTACAACCCAACGATTTGATATTTGTATATATTGCGAATCACCACAATAAGTCTAGTTAACATTCATCACCACACATAGTTGCAATTTTTTTTCTTGTGATATGAACTTTTAAAATTTACTCTCTTAGCAACTTTCAAATATGCAATACAGTGTTATTAACTATAGTCACCATGCTGTACATTAGATCCTCATGACTTATTTTACATATGGAACTTTGTGCCTTTTGACTTCCTTTACCCATTTTGTCCACCCCTCACTGCCTAGCTTTGGTAATTATCAATCTGTTCTCTGTATCTATGAACTTGATTTTTTATGTGCTTGGGTTTTTTAAATTAAATTCCACCAATAAAAGAGATCATATGGTATTTGTCTTTCTCTGTGTGACTTATTTCACTTAGCATAATGCCCTCAAAGTTCATCCAGGTAATCACCAATGGCAAGATTTTTTTCTTTTTTTATGTCTGAATAATATTCTATTGTACATATATACCATATTTTCTTTATTCACTCATCTGTTGATGGACATTTAGATTATTTCCATATCTTGGCTATTGAAAATAATGCTGCAATGAACATGGGGGAACATATGTGTTTTTTAATTAGTGTTTTCATTATCCTATATAATAAAATCCTAATATGCAAATCGACCAAATGGCGAAATGACCGGCAGAATGACCGGTCGCTATGACATGCACTGACCACCAGGCATCTGCCTCCTAAGAGGGAGGCAACCGGTGGCGGTGAATGGGGGGCGGGACCAGTTGGTGAGTGGCACCAGGCCGCCAGCCAAGGCAGGTGACAGTGGGGGGTCCCCAATTGCCCTGCCCGCTGGTCACCCCACAGGTGGCCCTGATTGCTGGCCAGGCTGAGGGACCCTACCCTATATACTGGGAACAGTCTCTTAGATTTAAAAATTAAAACCTGGCAAGACTACTCTAACACTGAAAAAACAATGATGCAGCAATGACATGCATGGATGGACTCTGACTTGCACATTTTGTGGTCAGCCCTGATTCTAACACTTATAACTGTGTGACAAAGCCAATTACTTAACTTCTCTCTGCTTCAGTTTTTCCACCCATAAGATGAGGAAAATGGCACTACTGCCTCAGAAGGATCATGTTATGTACTACTTTTTATAATCAGGGCAAAAAAATGTAGCTGCCCGTACAACAGCAAGATGCCTTTCACCTGTATGAAAAGTATGGTCACTGGTGCATGCAGCATCCTGGATTGTGAGAGGGATGTCCGACTGCTGGTTTAAGCTTGACAACCCCCCAAGGGGTCTCGGATTGCGAGAGGATGCAGGCCAGGCTGAGGGATCCTCCCCTCTCCCATATAAGAATTTCGTGCACCAGGCCTCTAGTTTTTTTAAATAAATACCCAGAAGTGGAATTGCTGGATCAAATGGTGATTCTCTTTTTAAGTTTATGAGGAACTTCCATTCTGTTTTCCATAATGGCTGCACCAACTTACATTCCCACGAACAGTGCACAAGGGTTCCCTTTTCTCCACATCCTCACTAGCTTTTGTTATATATTCTTTGTTTTTAATAATTGTTATTCTAACAGATATGAGCTAATATCTTATTGTGATTTTGATTTGCATTTCCCTGATAGTGATGTTGAGCATCTTTCATGTACTTGTTAGCCATCTATATGTCTTCTTTAGGAAAATGTCTATTCAGATACTCTGCCCATTTTTTAATTTGATTTTTTTTCTTGCTATTAAGTTGTATAAGTTCTTTATATATTTTGGATAGTAACCTTGTATATTTGAATTTTTTAAAAATATATTTTATTGATTTTTTACAAAGAGGAAGGGAGAGGGATAGAGAGTTAGAAACATTGATGAGAAACATCGATCAGCTGCCTCCTGCACACTCCCCACTGGGGATGTGCCCGCAACCAAGGTACATGCCCTTGACCGGAATCGAACCTGGGACCCTTGAGTCCACAGGCCGGGGCTCTATCCACTGAGCCAAACCGGTTAGGGCCGTATATTTGATTTGTAAACATTTTCTCACATTTGGTACAATACCTTTTCGTTTTGTTGATGGTTTTCTTTGCTGTGCAGAAACTTTTTAGCTTTTCAGTCCCACTTGTTGATTTTTGCTTTTGTTGACTTTGCTTTTGGTGTTAAATCCAAAAACTCACTGCCAAGACTGATGTCTAGAAGCTTACCATCTATGTTTTCTCCTAGGAGTTTTATGATTTAGTATCTTACATTCAACTCTTTCATTCATTTTGAATTAATTTTTTGTGTATGGTGTGAGATAGTGGTTCCGTTTCTTTTGCATGTAGGGTCCAGTTTTCCCAACACTATTTATTGAAAAGACTACCCCTTTCCCCATGTATATTCTTGACTTCTTTGTTGTAAATTAATTGACTATATATATATATATATATATATATATATATATATATGGGTTTATTTTTAGGCTTTCTATTCTGTTTCATTAATCTATGTGTCTGTTTTTATGCCAATGCCATACTGTTTTGATTACTATAGTTTTGTAATATAGATTAAAATCAGGGAGCATGATGCCTCTTTTGGTTTTGTTCTTTTTTTCTCAGGATTGTGTTGGCTATTCAGGGTCTTCTGTGATTTGACAAAAGGTTTAGGATTCTATTTCTGTGAAAATGCCTTGGGAATTTTGATAGGGATTACATTGAATCTATATGTTACTTTGGGTACTATGGATATTTTAACAACATTATTTATTACAATCCATGAATATGAACTATTTTTTCATTTATTTAAGTTCTTTCACCACTGTTTTATAGTTTTCACTGTATAGGTCTTTCTCCTCCTTAATTAAATTTACTCCTAGGCACTTTCTTCTTTTTGATGTAACTATAAATGCAATTATTTTCTTATTTTTTTCATTATTAGTATATAGAAATGCACCAGATTTCTGAATATTAATTTTGTATCTTGTATCTATACTGAATTCGTTTATTAATTCTAACAGGTTTTTTTGGTGGAGACTTTAGGATTTTTCTATATATAATATTGTGTCACCTGCAAATAGTGACAGTTTTACTTCTTACTTTCTTATTTGGATGTCTTTTATTTCCTTTTCTTACCAATTGCTCTGGCTAGGACTTCAAATACTATGTTGAATGAAAGTGGCCAGAGTGGGCATCCTTGTCCTGATCATTAATAATAATGTATCAATATTAGTTCATTCATTGTAGCAAATGTACCATACTAATGTAAGATGTTAATAATAGGGGAAACTGGGTGCCAGGTATATGGGAACTCTCTGTACTATCCTCTCCAATTTTCTGTAAATCTGAAAGTGCTATAAAAATTAAAGTCTATTAAATTTCTATAAAATTACAATCATGATTTTTAAACCCGATTTTGTTCACAGAAAATGCAGCTATGAGTTTTTATACACATGCACCGCAGAGAGACATTTTTAGTATTTGGAAAGTGGCGTCTGGGCTGGCTCTTCCTAAGCCCTCAGGCAGTGGGGTCAGTCTGGGGCTTCGTGAGCCTGCAGAACAAGATGGGCTTTCAGAACACAAGCGACCTCAGACCAACCCCTGGAACCTCTCCTCCGATCCGCCACCTTCCTTAACGGGCTCCTTTGCTTTCCAGAAGCTGAGAATTTTCTGACCAGGAAAGGTACACCCAGGCCTTCTGGATGTGGATAGTGACTAGCTGGGCACAGACGGCCCCATATTTGGGTACAGACAGTTACCTGGGAACATGTAAAGTTCCATCCCAAGTTTGTTATTTCAGAGCTGGCCGTTGAACATTAAAAGATTCCATTGACTTCGGGTAATTTTATTTTCTATCTCCCAGGAAAAACTGTCAATGATTTACATTGTACAGCCTTGGGTTATCTAATAACTCTGGATTTTCTGCTCTGAGGAAAGGGACTTGGGGGCGGTAGAGGTGGCTCTGCCTGGGCTCCGGAGGACACCTTCCTGAGGACTAGGTAGAAACCAGGTGGAGGGAGAGCTGGCCTGCAGTGCTGAGATGCGGGAGTCCTCCCTCCTCCGAGGGGATTATTGCTCTCACAGATGACCAGGTAAAGTGAGGCTAGAAACCCCTGACAGCTACGGGGCAGGACTCTACACCCCACACTGGCAGGGATTTATTTATTTTTATTTTTATTTTTTTAAGAATGTGCTTGTTTGCCTTTAAAAAGAACGGAAAATGCTTGGAGCATTGTGGGTAATTCATACCAGCCTGGAATATTTGTAAATATCTTTCCTTGGAGAGATTTAAACAGGAAGCCTGGAAAGTCTGTTTCCCCAACACATTGCACTCATGTTTGAATTCTGCTCCTGAGGAAAAGCAAAAGATACACTGATTTTCGATCTTATTTGAGGTGCTGCCCCAAACCATCCAAGTTGCCCCGGAAGGAGGCACCACACCGAGGCCCTGCTTACCCGTGTGGAACGATAGAGGCAGAGTTCTCGCCGCGGGAGGAAGACCACCTCCTCTGTGTGGCCCTCCCTCCTTAACCTTCACATTGGCCCCCAGGCCATCCCATAATGCTCGGGCCACTTTGAAACCCGGGGGTGCCCCGGGAGGCTTTTTCACTGCCTTCGTGGAAAATGCCAGGGCACAAGCCATAACTAAATGCCCCCAAAGGAGCTATGGAGCCTCGTTTTAGTCTCTCATTTTTCATTTAAGACTTGCCTTGTTGGCCTGCTTTGTACATACTGTACATGTGATATTCGGATTGTACTTCTCCCTCTTCCTGATTCCGTAATAAACCTCTGAATTCAAGTAGGTGGTGGGTGAGTCAGACCTACCATTTTGTGGAGCTGTCGGGTGGGGGTGTGGAGGAGGTGGGCTGGGTCTGAGAGGGTGTGTGTGTAGAATCCTCAGGGTTAGTGGGGGCGGGGGACGGCAGGGTGGTGGCAAGGCAGACCCGGGCAGACAACCAGGAACGGGCGAACTGGTCGCAAAGGCTTCTCTTTCTCACCTGCCTTTTCCCAAGTGCGAACATGTTTTATAGGACACTGAGCAGCACGCGGCAAAGTTGTGGTTTCTCCTCATTGCTCGTGTGATTTCCAGACATGACGGTCCTTCTCCTGGCAGGCTGAGCTACCTTCCCTCATTGATTCTTGGACTGAATCAATTTCTATGTTTAAAAAGAATTTTAACAGAAAGAGGAAAAATAGAAACTTGTGAAAAAAATCTGCATGTGGAGATGATGCTCATCTGGGGAAATGCTTTGTTTCCATATGAAGTTAAGTCAGAGAGTCTGAGGGCATGCAAGGACAGGACAGTTTGCCTCTTCTTTCTCCTCCCTTCTCTTCTCCTCCCCTCGCCTTCCCTTCCTGACCTTCTTTCCCTCTCCTCCTCTCTCCTCTCCTCTTCTCTCCTCTCCTCTTCTCTCCTCTCCTCTGTTCATTTGAAAGAACTGGATGATTGCCCATCCAGACAAAGCTGGCTTAGGGAAGAAAAGCTCAGGGAGGAAGCAGTGTGAGGAGACTGGAAATAGCAAGAATCTGACACACTTTGGTTTCCAGCCCTTAACTTGGGAGAGGAAGAAACCATTTTCCTGCTCCTGGCTCAGATCTGAGTGGAAGGGAGTGCCATTCGCCCCTCTGGCTCTTGGGTGGCCTGGACAGGAGTCCGTGAGCGGTCTTGCCATATGGCAGCTGGCAGGAGCCTGCGCCCCTCTGCAGGAACACAGGCCCATACTGTTAAGGATTAGGTGGAACATATGCATGTAAGATGCTTATGACTTTTTCCAGACACAGGGCCACTTTCCAGCCTGAGAAGCTGCTCGGAGGAACCGGAGGAACCGGGGTAATTAGATAGAGCCTCATGCTGGCAGGGACGGAAAGCTAAGTGCTCAACTGAACCTGAATGCTTTAATCGCCTTCCCTGCATTTGCCTTCCCTCTTCTCACCCTTTTTTCTTTTTCTTTATTCTCCTTCTACTCCCTATTCACCCTTTTCTTTCTTTATTTGTTCTCAACTTCTTTTCCTTTTCTTCTACTTTTTGCTCTCCTCTCTTCCCTTCTTTTTCTCCCTACTTTCTTTTACTTTCATCATGACACTCTCCATGCTTCTTCATGTTTATCACCATTTCTTTTTCTTGACTCATTTGTCAGCTGCAATGGATTTCGAGTCTCATGGAGACAAATGCAAGCTGTGTCATTGGAAACCATTCATGCCTTCATATGGCTGCGGAGAGGCGGGGTGTGAGGACACAGCGGTTCTGAGTGCCTGCCTTGAGTCCTGCTCTGAATTTTTCTAACAGCCTAGCTGAGCAGCATGAGGGCTTCTGCTTTCCATATGGGAGACGCTCAGAGAGCGTCTTGCACAGCAAGCTGGAGTGCAGGGTTCAACTCAATTCTGTCTAATTCCGAGTGTCCCTTGCTTTATACAGTCTTTAGGACAGTGGATAAAGTGGCCACAAATGTTGGGTGGCAGACATGTTTGTGGTTCAATTCAAACACCGAAAGCAACATTCTCCAACTTTGCGTGTACCAGGGTCACCTGCTGTTTTCAATTCAAATGGGGGCAGGGCCCGAGAACCATACTCCAAGAACCACTAGTCTGAAAGGCATTGCTTTTTTAAAAAAAATTTTTTAAAAAAATATATTTTATTGATTTTTCACAGAGAGGGAGAGGGATAGAGAGTTAGAAACATCGATGCGAGAGGAACATTGATCAGCTGCCTCCTGCACACCTCCTACCGGGGATGTGCCCGCAACCAAGGTACATGCCCTTGGCCGGAACTGAACCCGGGACCCTTCAGTCCGCAGGCCGACGCTCTATCCACTGAGCAAAACCGGCCAGGGCTGAAAGGCAATGCTTTTAGAATTAGGTAGTTGGTCAGAACTTAATCTCAGATGGCAGGAAACATTTTCTAGACCCTGATGTGAGTGCAGGGGACCTGTCTCATTTCACAAAGGATTTGAGATTGCCTTGTGAAAGTACTCAGAAAAATGATATAAAAAAAGAGTTAAAGTCAAGTGAAGGGAAAACAAAGATAGGAGTTTGGTACTGAGGAGACACAGGGAAACTGATAGACAGGGACTGGGACCATGGGTGGCGGGGAGAGGAGGAAGTGAAACTGGGAACCCAGCTTGGAGGACTTACTAAGGCACCCCAACTGGGCGGGGAAAGAACTGCATACACGAAAGACATGAGCTTTAAAAATTGTGTGAATGTTGCTAAGACAGGCAGCTCGCAGATAAACAATCACAAGGTAGTAAGATATATAAACCAATCCCAAGGATGTTATTAAGGCAAAATTCTTTGAAGGGACCAGTCAGGAGCTAACAAGCATATACACAGAAAGTGCACACTTCCTTTTTCTCCCCTGTGCACTAGACTTGGGGTTAATGGTAGGAGATGCGCCCCCTGTGCCCATGTGGCTTATGGCCATGTGGGCCTCCACACATGGACTATTAGACTTTAATTAGCTAGGGTACTGAACTACTGCAGACTGTAACAAGGAAAGGAAGCTCCGCCTTCCCCAGGACTGGTTTCTCTCAGTAAACTTCGCCTCCGTTAACCGTTTCTTGTCCACAACTTCATTCTTCAATTTTTCGAGACAACAGACAAGTTTCAGTACAAATAGTTAGAATACAATAAGAATAATTTCCTCTCTGTAGGAAGAGCTATATGGACTTCTCTTTATTTTCTTGGTTGACTGTGTCCTATTTTCATTTGAGAAGAGCACCCTTGAATTCTATCCATAGAATAAAATTCTCCTTTTCCTAAACTGCCTTGCAGAGAATGTCTCCTTACTCAGACAAGTTAGAAAGTATGAGCTGATGGATTGTTATCTTTTTATAACCTGTAAAAATGGGCAAAATGGCTGTTGTGTAAGATGTATTAATTGAGCAACTGCATTTATTGGATATCTCTCGCTTGTCAGAGAAATGAAACCTAAGAAATACAATAGAGAGGCATACAGGAAAGCTGAAGTAGGATTCCTACCCAAGCCACTTACAACTTAGTTTGAAGAAAAGGATGTGCCTATAAAACAGTGAGGAAATAATTATGTCCTTTAACAGAGTTCAAAGATTCTAAATACAGCAGTTCACAAAAAGGAAAGGTCAGAGTAAGTTAATATAAGCACAAAAGAGTAGATTTAAATTTGATAAATAGGAGAGAAAAAGATGAGAACATTTTGAAGAGTTTTACCATAATTTAGATGTAGAAGTTACTATACCTTTGTATAAACAAAACACCCCAACAGCTATCTGACCCATAAAATAGCTGTGCAGGGTGGAAAAGAGAACCGTGTTTGCCATCAGAAATGCATTGGTGGTAGATTTGCCACTTACTACTGTGTGACCTTGTGCCAGTTATTGGACCTCTTTTTAAAAAAATATATATATATATATATTTATTGATTTCAGAGAGGAAGGGAGAGAGAAACATCAATGATGAGGGAGAATCATTGATTTGCTGCCTCCTGCATGCTCCCTACTGGGGATCAAGCCCACAACCAGGGCATGTGCCCTTGACTGGAATTGAACCTGGGACCCTTCAGTTCACAGGCCAATGCTCTATCCACTGAGCCAAACTGGTTAGGGCTCATTTGATCTCTTTAAGTCTTGGTTTCTGCAAAAATAAAATGGGATTTTCAGTATCTATCTGTATCAACTGAGCTTCAGCCAGGAAAACAGAAACCAGTATCTGAAGCAAAAATAAGGCGTTTAAACTGGGAATTAGTTGCTTAAAAGCCTAGGGAGGACTGGGAGAACAGAGCTTTCTGATGGCTGGAGCAGCTGTGAGTGGGGAAGCTGCTGCTTCCACCCAGAGGTCCAGAAGCAGGGCTGGCAGGCAGGGCGATCCCGGTGCTCCGGCTCCAGCAAGCACTCATGTTTATGAGAGCCTGCGTGTGGCTGCTGCTGCCACCGGAGGAGGAACACTTTCTGTCCCCTTTGCCACCAGATCTAACAAGGGCATCACAGTGTAGAAATGAAACTGGGCCTCTGGAGGCAAGGGAGTTGAGGAAGCGCAGTTCCCAGGCTGCTAGCCCTGAGAACTCAGGAAAGGCCTGGAAGGGAGAAGAGATGAGAATAAATGCCAGCAGGGAGTATTC